CCTCTTGGGAATGTTTTGTGAAATTATATAAAGGCTAGTGCTCCACGCAGGAGAGCGGAGCATTAATGGGGTCAGCGATTACGCGTCATGTACAAATTGGGCTGCTTGGGCTGTTGTGGGAATCACATTCCTTCCAGCTGACCAGGTACAGATGAGTTACTCAGGTGTGGCTTTTTGAAAGCTTCGGAAAAATACAGATGAGAACTCAGGCAGCAGACATGCGTCTCACCACATAATTGTGAGCAGACGTGGAAAATATTGACTCAAGCGCCGCACAAGTGATATAATACATTTGACGTAACGCTAATGGAGCACCTTCATTTAAGAGATCATTTACTGTCTGTCATCTTTCTACTGCTCTACATTTACTGTAACTAATGGCTCTCTTTACTTTTATTAGGTTTTGATATACAGAACACAAGCTGAACCCATAAATCACTCCATAATCTAATAATTCTGTCTGTGTATTGGTATTTTTTTACATTCTATAATTTCATTCTGCCTTCTTAACCTGAGTTTTCCTTGTTATTTTTCCTTATTTGAACGTGTCCTTCATTTGTTCCCTTTCTTCCTCTACTCCCACTATCATTATTTTATTTTACTTTGGATATTTGTAGCATCATTTATAACTGCTTTTAGTTCAGTGGAAGGTACTTTGTCTTTTTCTGACAGCAATTACTGTTTGCACTGTTAGAAGCTTGGGCTGTTTTTAAATTTAATTTTGTTCTTAACTCTCCTATTACCTTCAAATTTACTGACATTTTTTTTCATTGGGCCCAATTTGATCCCTGCAATTTAAACCTCCAGAAAACATTATAATTAAAATGGTTACCCATGTTTATGTGGAAATATCCCTTTAAATAAAACTGAAAAAATGATGTCAATGACTTATTTTGAGATGTTAAACATTGAATGATCAGATTATAGGAGGGTTAATGCAAAAATATTTTTTTTTCATATAACATACCAAATACTGTATGTTGCTAAAATGTGGACATATTTATAAAATCTATGACCTGTGATGGTATTTTTGGATCTACATATTTTACTCCCTGCATATGCTGTGCATTGAATTCTGTATGTTCTGTCTCATGTGAAATTGATGATCAGATGGAGCTACTTTGCTTCTTTTTTTTTCCTTTCTTATCTGTGTGTGTCTCTGTCCTCAGGGCTTTCTTTCAGACCTGCTGGAGAAGGCTAACAGACACTATGATGACCAGAAGCTGCAGGAGTACACACAGACCATAGTAAGACTCACACACTCAAACACACAATGGTAAATCCCACATGTACGGTGTGCACAGCATTAAGAATGTGAGAGTCGTAATTGTACCGTTACCACGTCGTCTCTAAGGGTAGAAAATGCGTCAGTGGAATAAAATTAGAAGAAAATAGTGACTAAACTGAAATGAGATGCTAATTATGCGCCATTGTCTCTACAAACGGCTAAACTGAAATAATAAGTCTTGAAAGCGTCAGTGAAACTAACTGTGAGCCGCATGAAGCCGTGATGAAAGGTCTATGTCTAATGCCCATCTGGCCTGGAGGACCTCAGAGGCTGTTGGTGGCAGCAGCGCTGTGCGGCTGAGTGGTCGTGACCCATCATGTCCGGCAGGTTGCGAGTTTGCAGCCCAGATGTGCTAACATCTGCTTCTTCCTGGAAGCCCCAGAGATGAACTGACCTGATTTTCTGCAGCAGTTTTCTTGCAGATAAACTTGGTGGTTATTGTTTCTTTCCAGTTGTTTGAGTTGGTGAAAGCAGCGAGCTTTTAGAGATTTGTCCAATAATCCCCCCGTTAAATAACAGCACAGGCTCAAACAGCATTCAGGTGCTGCTGGTTTAACGTGTGCTGCTTGTGCTTTAACGCTTTTCTAACAAGGATATCCAACACTAAAGCTGAAATTAGAGGCTGAAATTAAGGAAAAAGATAAGATTGTTTTAATGAACATGCTGCTGTGACAGAGACTTCTCGAGCAGCAGATCTAAACAACAAATGTACACAAACATCGTGCAGGATGATGGCCAGGATTAGTCTACATATATCCAACAATACCACGGTCAGAAAGAATATGGAATAATAACAAGTAATGCCAGCAACACCAGGCACAATGCCCAGCCAAAGAATGAACACATGGCTTTATGTCATTTTAAAGCTCTGATTACAAATAACAGCTGCAGGTAGCATAATGTCAACCTCACAACCTGTTTCTCAGTAAGAAAATCTCTGACTAGAAACTGTCAACATGTTTGAGATTAACGGTTTTATACTAAAAATACCATAAAAGGACATCAAAAAATACATAAGGATGACTTGTTTCCTCTGACTAACAGTCCAAAACCTCAAAATATTTTGTTTATAATAATATAAGACAAGGAAAAGCAGTAAACGTGAGAACATCATACTTTTAATTTTGTTTTTTTGTTTTTTTCTTAATATATAAGCCTATTTATTGATCATACGAGCTGGAGATGGATTTTCGTTGAACTGACTTATAATTGAAGCTCTACAGAACAATATTAAGCCATGTTTCGCTTTACTCTGAGGAAAAAAGTTAAGTTGAGAAAGTCTCATTGTGCAATTTCTGGTATATTCTTTGCTCCCAAAGTAGCTGCCTACTTAAAAAAAGAACCTTTTGGGGTATTATTCAGCGACACAGGCTGGAATATTTGAAGCGAGGTTTATGGACAGTCCCTTTATTAGAACTAGAAACATCTCGCACAATGAGAAAGTGGTGCGGATGTATAATAAAGACAGAAAAATTATGGCTCCACATTCTGTTTCTAAGATTTTCCAACATTTTATTGCATATACCTATAAAAAAAACTTTCCTTTCAGCTTGTCTTCTGTGTCCTCCAATCTCTGTTCTGCTTTCTAGCTCAGGATGTTTGATCTGAATGGAGATGGGAAGTTGGGCCTGTCAGAGATGGCGAGGTAATGTGCAATTTTACTGGCTTCTGCTCGCTATATAAATGTTGAAACACATTGCCTGCTGATGTTCATTCAAAGTCAGCGGCTCTGAATAATTTAACAACTGTTATGTCCGCTAATGAAGTCCTTCTTCTCCCAAAGGCTTCTCCCCGTCCAGGAGAATTTCCTACTCAAATTCCAGGTAGGGAAATGCTAATGCAAAACAAAATGGCTACATTATGCACAATTAATACCAGTGAAATACTTAACACAGCACAGACACCATTTAATATCCACGATATGCTTATTTTTTTAGATTGAGACTTGTTTTACTGGTGCTTTCTGGCAGTTTGCAGCCTGGTAATCCAGTTCCAACCTTGTTTTTACAGGGTGTCAAGTTGACCGCTGAGCAGTTCAATGCCATCTTCACATACTATGACAAGGTTGGTGACATTTTATTCAAAGTAGGAATAATACAGTTGTCAGCTACACCCCACACACTCCCAAACACAGAGCTGATATCTGACCCTCTGGGTTAGCTTTTGTTCCGCTAGATTTCACTTGTCAATGTATTTTGCCGGGGATGCTCCCTTTCATCTGTCTTCCTGAGAAGCCGGGCTGCTCCTGGGGTTTTCTGTCCATGTTCTCTGAGATAAATTGGCATACTCAATGCTGGATGATAGCATTTGAACACCTCATCATATTTAATAGGAGGAAAAGTTATTTCACTTGCAACAACTAGGTCCCTCGGGAGTTTTGGCTGTGGGAGCACTTTTAAAACATGCTGTTGAATGAAATCAGTTTTATTTTTGAACAGTTTTTTTTTTTTCTCGTTTTAATCGTCTGATCAAGAAATCAATCAACCTTTAATTTCATACGGTATGTTAATACAGTTGAAAGAGTTACTTATCTTGTACTGCGAAATAAAACATAGTTACTTGTACTTTATACATATATAATCAGTCAAGGGATTAAGTCAGTTATTAGCCTTTATGTTGGTTATTATTTTAACCCCCCCTGAAACCCGAGCATTGATTTTATTTATTTTTATCTAAAATGTTGCTAACAGCCCGCTCATCAAGAAAATAATGTTTTTTGTTTGTCTTTTTTATTGTTTTAGTTATCAGTTAAATTTTGTAAAATATTCCAACTTGAATATCACCATTCAAATCTGAACAGTGCATCCATTATTTAGCATTTTTGACTCAAGAAAATCAAAACATGCATCTAAAAAAACCAACTGCATTAACAGGAAACTGTTTAATACATCACAATAAAAAGTAACTGAGTTAGAATAAATAAAATTGTAATTGTAATCCAGGCTATAATGCATTTCCACACAATATTTTGCTTTCCTCATGTAGGCAAAGTATTAACAGCACTCATGAATGTAATGTCAAAATCAATAATACACATAAGACAGAATTATCACCTTTCAAAGTCAACAGGAACTTCAAGAAGATTCGTAAAAGTAGAATTTATGGCAGAGCTGTTGTACTGGATTGCATTTGATGTCCCTAATAAAGTGGTTGGTGAGTGTATATAGGGTTAACCCTTCATCTTAACTCCATAACCTATACATCATATTTATATACACACTGTAAATTCCCATAGGTGGCACAACTGATAAATTTACTCATGACTCAGTGAATAAGATGCCCATTGAAGCCCACTTTTATGTGCATGCCACACTGAAAAAAATCCTTCCAAATCATGTGTAATCTATCTTATTGTTAAACTTCTTCATTACTAAACATCTTTAGAAAATAGGAAAATGGCCACAGTTCAAAACAGTCCCTGGAAAATTGGTGAAATTGGAGAAAACATCGTACAGTGTTGATATTTTCATGTTAAAAATGTTGTAACCCTGAACTGATAATGTCCGTTGTAAGCACTACGAGACAGTTCCAAGTGGATGCTGCAGTTTTACAGCTGTGTGCCAAGGAGGGCTCAGATAATAAATGGGGGGGATACTAATTTAATTTAGCCTAACATAGTGGAATAGAGGATAGTCGGAAAAGTGGTGGGGCTATTTACAGTGTCTGAAAGCTGATATGCTACTACAGTGAGTGGGAAGAGGAAAAGTAATTGTGTGAGTGTTTGAAATAAAACACGCAAGCCTGCTGTGTGGATGACTCAGCGCTGTTTGTTTAGGAATTTCCTTTTTGTTAAAATCATGAATATGCAAATTCTTTTTTCTTTTTTTTTTTTGTTAACCAATGGCACTCCCTGTCTATCTAGGGAAATACGTTGGGCTTGGCACACCTGTGTTTTTGTAAACAGCTCAGGGTGGTTGAGCAGTGGTTCAGTTAATGGCCATATTTTCCACATTAGCAGTAGATCGGTGGGGAGGGACGACGGGCGGAGGGAGGGAGGGATGGATGGACGCGATATGAGGCAGAGGGAAAAGGCAGCAGAGTGAGAGAGGAGGGAGCAGCACGCTGTACATCTGCTGAATAGTTTTTTCTTGTTTATGATATCTTGTGTAGTTTTGTGAGCCTGAGGGAGTAACTATAATCTAGGTAGCTGTAAGAAGGCTGACTCAGTTTATGAGGGAATAAACAGTTCAGCTTGATGTGGCAGAGTTAGCTCGGCTGCTCGCTCTGCCCTCGTGTGCAAACTGCTTTTCATATTTCTCTGTTTTACATGTGAGCTAAAATAAATATATGTATGACTTTCTAATGGTATTTCAGCAGCAGTGATTTAACCACATCATGTAATCCAAAACACTCACTGAACTATTCAGTCATTAAAGTGCTTTTACAGTCTAAAACTACAGAACAGACAACACCATTATTCAACACGATACATTTCAGCACGCCTCAACAGTTTTTCCTGTCTGTAATTGATATTGTATTATTTCCATTTAGAGTATACGTCACTTCCACTGTCAATAATATTACATAGTAAATGTAGAGTTGAGATGACAGTGATGCAGAGAGGTTGAATTGGTTCCAATTTGGGACATAAATGCAAAAAAAAAATCATATTGCAACCCCTTTTCTTTTTATATTTTTTAGCGCAAATGGTATTTGTTTCACTGCATTTCCACTAGTCTGATTGCAGTCTGTACTAAACAAGCATCATCCCTTATACCTAAAGAATACTATTTGCAGGTGAAGCATCTCTGTAGCAACACAAAGCTTCATTTAAAATAGTATTTTCTGTCATATTCTGTCTTTCCCAAATGTTTCCAGCTCCTGTGATTTGGATACTACACTTGGCCATAAAATAAGTTCACTAACTGTTCAGCTCTAGTCCAGGAACACCTTTTTGGATCTGATGATTGATAACAAAAAAGACTGTAAAAATCCAAATAGTTATCACATCAATAATTTGTTTCTGTATTCTGTGTCTGGACCTAGCAATAGATTGAAATGTATGCAAAACAATTTTACATTTTTATACCAGTGCTTCTTAGCACAGGGTTCGTATACTTTTAGTTTTAAGCCACACATTATCTTAATCTGTTGATGAAGTCCACGACCTATGACTGACAATACCAAAGACTTTGCAGTAAGTGCAGGGATCTCGAATTTTAGGTGAACTCCTATTTCTTTTTTTGGTATTGTTTGTTTTTAAAGTTATTAAGAAATAGGACTGTGGAGAGAGAGACAGGAAAGTGGGGGAGTAGAATGGGGGAAGGACTTCCAGGAAAGGGCCATGAGTGGGACTCAAACCCATGGCCGCTGCGTCGGGGACTATAGCCCCTGTGCGTGGGACGCTAGCTCAACCAGTTGAGCAATCGCAGCCCCTGCAAACTCCTATTTTCAACAATGGACACTCAAGCCAAATCTTGGGTGCTTCAGTAGAAGGCAACTGAACTTCTCGTTTTGGTTTTTGAAAATGTTTCACCTCTACATAGACCCACCTTCAAGATAAATATTTCCAATGTTATTTTGTGTTTCTACCCCTGACCCAGCCGTAGTTATTATACCATCTTTAGCAACAAAAAAAAACATTTGGAGAGCAAGATGCCAGGATAGAGCAGTTCATCAGAAGTGGAGAGGATTGCGTGCAAGTTCATGTGACGGGTTGGACTGAAGGCTTGCACTCTCTAAAGCTCACTTGCAGAAGACAGGGTTGAATGTTCAATTATAGATGAGCCGCTGCAGTCCATTCATGAAGACACCCTCTGCGAATAGAGCACCACCATTTATGTGTGTAATTAGTTTCATCATTTTGTTATGAGCTCAGTCCCTGCAGCTGAAACACAGGCAGCTGCTGTCTCTGGTGCTGAGAGATCGTGTGCGGGGCAAAGTGTGGCCGGTCAGCTGAACACTAACATGGCTCACAGTGCCACAGCCCCAAACTGTGCAAGGACTTGAAAATGTCTAAAACGCAAGATGGCACGCAACTTAAGACAGACTGGCTGGTACCTGATGTTGCTCTGCTTTTCTACAGCTCTGCAGAGAGCCGGGTCTTTCATCCGTAAAGGGAAAATAAATAGAATTCACACTTTATTCCCAAGATCTAGGACACTTCATTCTGGCTTTGTAAACATCAAAGAGCATCTCCCAAAGTTGGAAAAAAAAATAAGACTGGCAAGACACTCGGCTATGAAATCATCTTGAGACCGAGCCTAGATGAACAGAACATGGTTTTGTGTCACTTGCCAAGGGAAGATTTCCAATAATCTGGACTTATTTTCTGGGCCCAAATTCTATAAACACCACCGTGAGACATAACTCACTAATTAGCAAAGAGGCTCCATATTGACTCTGCAGCTAACCCTCCCCCTACACAGAGTTGTGAATGGGAAGTCTTTTTAAATCGTTTGGCCGGTACATTCATGACTGCTGCCATGAAATACTGAATGAAGCTGAGCAGCAGGGCAGGACAAAAGAACAAAACAGCTCAGAATCTAAACATACAGTAACTGGTGCCCGGTTTAGAAAGTAATGTAGGTTTTGTTTTATTATCTAGAGTGGTAATTTCAAAGACTTTCATTTAAATAAATGTCTGCTAAGTCACCATGACAACACAATGGTGATTGACAAACTGATAAAAAGAAACAAAGCCCTTGCGCTTACAGTATTATGAAAAGAGGGTCTGTGGTGACACAAGCCACACTCAGTGTTGCATATTTCAGCATCCAGAAGTCATCTTTCTGCGAGAAATGGAGGGTGAAGCTAACGCAGCAGACAGTAAAGCAGCATACTGTTGTTTTTTTTCCTCCCTCTGCTAGAGCTGCAAGTAAATGTTGCTATTTTCAGAACAAAGAGCGATGTTATGAAGGCATATCCTAGAAGGGTGTACTGTGAAGCAAGTTCAACAGAGCCTAACTGTTTTTGTGCTACCTGGCTCAACAAAACCTAAAACTCTGATCAGAGCTGGCATTGCGACATTAGTTATCAGCTTTCTTTATGAACAAGGGATCTGTGTGGGCTCCAAAGAAAAAGAGAATGTGGGTTGTCATTGTGTCTTTTAAGGGATGCCATGATTGGATCGGTGCCCATCAAAGCAATTTTTAACTGATTGGTATTAGATTTAACCATAGTTTGATCCTTTGTTGATATTTGCTGTCACACAAGTGTTGTAAATTTGAGTAGCTTTCTTAATTAATGCAGGATTATCAATCAATGACTGAATAATTTGTAATACAATTTAAGAACACTAGACAGTTTTTCCCATCCTGATATTGCTGTTTTCAGCCAGGTAAACATGATTAAGGACACTAACACAGTGGCCACATATGCCACTGGGTTGTAAGAATGTTACCCTAGCTGGATGCAGCTTGAGTTACCACAGGCACACTGGCTGGAGGTCATTAGGCATCACAGAGGACTTTGTCATGGTGCCTTTTTACTAGCTAAACCCTCACAATGTTCTCTGCTTGCCAACACATACCTGCACCTCCCCTTGGGTCACTACAGTATAAAAAAAAAAAAAAAGGAGGTACACCTGGTGGTTCAACCAGGAATTACAGCTAATATATTAGAACTGTGTGTAAGGTATCAGCAGATCGAGGGCACAAAAAAAAACAAGCTCTGACCGAAACATCTCTAGAGCATAAAAGGCTAAAGAGGAATGCTAGTAGAAAACTGTTAATCCTGTAAGTGAACATATTCATTTTACTATTCAGGAAAAAACAGCTGCACTGAGAGCGCACCAACTGGACAGCTGCACATGAGAGCGCCAAAACTTTAACCCTAATACATTTACTCGTGAACCTCCACAAGGTCTGACACTCTCAAGGATACATGGAATTCCATTTAGTTCTTGGCCAAATCAAAGCAAAATTTACTTTATTAACGTTTATTGAATACCAATACCAACAGATTAAACAATTTTCTAATCCGTGTTCTACTAGCTGCAATAGAGGCAATGTTAAATGGGCTTGGCAGCAAATCAATATCAAGCATATAAACCAATTGATAAATTTTCTGCATCACTAAAATGAATGTATGTAGGTTCCCATGGCAACATGACACACAGAGTTTGCACGACTGTAACTTCACAGCATCATTCAATGGCATGACTAACGTACAGCCTAACAGGTTTTCATTTATAGCTAACCTATTCAGTCAGCGGTGAATGTACACAACTTGCAGAGAATATCGTAAGGAAAAGAAACGGTAAAGGGTGGTGCTTCTTCTAGCTGATTTCAAAGCAAAACTCTGAGGTGCCACTCCTGAGTGAAGTCGTACTGTTTGGATCTCTGGGGATAAAGGAACAAATGCAATTATCATTTATCATCATAGGTGCAGCTAAACATCGCAAAACAGCGATCTGTAAATCATGTTTTTCCTTTTCTGACCGTTGTGAATGTTTGAAAATGAAAATAACATTTGTGTTGTTTCTGTTAACTTCTTCCAGGATGGAAACGGCTACATCGATGAGCAAGAGTTGGAGGCTCTGCTACGAGACCTTTACCTGAAAAACAAGATGGTGAGAGGGAGATAAAGAGCCTGCTGTCTCTGATTGTAGTCTACACAGCTGGTCCACAAGCCAATTTCTTTGCACTTACTTCTGCATCTAATATCATTTAAAGTTGTATTTTAAACACAGCACTCCATTACGTCATGCTATGACTGTTCGACTAAGCGTTCTGCATGTGTTGAGAAAGTTTGACTGCTCCGGTTCTCAGCTCTGCAAAAGCTCAGATCAAAAGGTTTGCTAATACCAGTAAATCATTCAAGCTTATTAACGGTTTAGCACCTCTATCCAAACCTACAGTGTAAGAAAAAAAAAAAAAGGTGCCATAAAAAAAGAAAAAAAACCCTAATTACTATTAGATTTTTGATTTGAATATAATTTACATTTTCATCTTGTTTGTTTTATATATAGTCAACGTGTAAATTAATCAATATATTTTTTGTAATTTTACTAGATATTATTTGCAATTCAACAAAACTGGGAAAATACATAAAATAAAAGTTTTTTTTTTAAATCCTTACAATTTTTCAGTTCTCACTATACATACTTATTCTTTCAAATAATGTAAATTAGCTGTAAAATAATGATATTTTTTTTTTAGATTTAAATATAGTGTGAAGAGTGTAATTATACACTCACACATAAAGGAATGAAATACTATATGCAAAAAATTCTTTAAGTGGACATTATTCGTTTTATGGGGTTTTCTATAGTTAACATAGTAAATTAATACTTTACTCTTTAAAATGTCTAGCTATTGTGTGTAATTTACCAGAACAGTTAAAATCCATAAAATCACAGGAAACATCTTTATTTAAAGACCGTATTTTTAAAGTGTACCACTGTTTTTCATGTTCCACAAGGCTACTAAAAAATAAAAATTCCACATAGTTAACTAATTCTGGTTGAGCTAGCCTAGCATGGTTTGTGATTCTGGCCTCCTCAGCTTCACTCAGTGTATCCGCCTCCCTGTGTCTCCTCCAGGAGGTGGAGCAGAAGAACCTGAAGGGCTACAAGGAGAGCATCATGAGCCTGTCCGACGGAGGGAAGCTCTACCGCGGCGAGCTGGAAACCGTCCTCTGCAGGGACCCAATTCTGTGACTCCTCCTCCTCTCTTGTTGCATATCATCGTTTTCTCTGCCTGCCCCGCCCTTTTCTCCCGAGACCACACCCACTTTCAGCTGAGTGGCAACTTATACCAGGTGCATGTGCCGGACACCCCCTACCCTCCCAGTCATGTCCCAAACCCACCCCCAACCCTCCAGAAGTAACAAATACAGAATGAATGATAACTGCACTGTCAGCACGCAACAGCTCTTCTTCCTGAAACCCTTATTTTTCTGCAAGCTGACCTCTTGACCCCTAACATGACCTTTCTGAAACCTCTAGCTTTTCACCCTCAGACTCTCCTCCCAGCTCTCCCCCATTTCTGACCTCATTCCCATCCATGCTGTGCCTGACTTGCAACTCCTGACCAAAAGTCCAAACCCTCAATTACACAGAAATTACCTTTTGACCTGTTGGCAACCCCTGAGCCCTGTCCCGGCTTCATTGACCCCTCCATTACCTTGCTCTTTCAACTTTGCATTAGATATGATATATAGTCAAACTAAACTGCAGACAGATGTGTTTGAAGTGATCGCATTTATAATCTGTAATGGAACTGATAATGATTTTTCCACCTCTATTTCTCCTGAAACCATCTTGTTCCATTAAAACTCTTGTGTACCGTTGCCATGACATGATTTTCATTTTCAATGTTTGTTTTTGGCTGATACTGTCAATTGAAAATATTAATAAAATATCTTAAGATAAAATTATCTTTGACGCTGTTTGAATGGGATTTTTTTTCGAATAACTGCCAGCGGTAGATTACCGTGTCAACCTTGATTTTTTTTTTTACTTCACAGCCATGCTATGTTGTGTCATTCTCTCAGGTACATTTCCTGCTTATTTCCTGTTGTGCTGGCCTTTTGCATACCAACCTGGCCATTTTATCGAGGCCTCCCAGCTTTAAACTGCTCCCTCGCCCTCCATCTGCTCGCAAAAGCGTAGGGAGGATTAACAATGGCTGCAAATCCCAACCAGATCAAGACGGTGCGCAGCTTAAAGCTTCAGTAGTTACTTTATAGAAATTGGACACATTTGGTGTTAGTTGTCAGTGTTGGGCAATGTAACACAAGCAACTGCAACTTCAAATGCGTTTTAAATTAAAATTTACTGCTTAGCATGCAGTGGCGTCAAGACGATGATAGAAATAATGCATGTTTCACTGTAGCACTGAGTCAGACAGCTTTATTTGCAGCATGATGTCCTTCTCCCAGCTGCATAATGAAAATGACTGGAGAAACAAGTGAGGCGATATTGCTGAGTCAGCACCACGAGGCATTGTCTCGGTTTTCCTCTTGTGTGAATGAAATGAAACTGCATAACAAAACACCTCTCCCTCGCCTTTGAGTTGCTGAAGCGATCCTGAGCTTCTGCACAAAGCGTGGCCTGACCTAAAATTTTTGTTGACATCAATTAAAAGTTGATGTGCAACAGACTTCAATGTAAATGTTATCACAAATATTGAACTTATAAAGCTTAGATAGGCCCAAATATATCGTTTAAATATCTGAAAGATGGAATATGTGGCCTGATTTTTGTGTGAAGCATCAAGAGGAGATAATCTGATTTGACATAACCAAAAGGGAAAACTATGATGTGTCTTAGAAGCTTTAAATGTGACTAAAAACATGGATGCAGAGCCTATTACATAGAACTTGCAATAAAAATATAACCGTAAAACTGAACTTAAACAGTGATCTAAACTGACAAGCCCAAATTTTTGGCTAAATTCCAGTCATGCACTGGAAGCTTTAAACTTTTCCAGTTGAATCCAGGATGGGAGGTTTTCTCTGCAGCTACGCTGAGCTGTTACTCCTGAGATAGTAGGACAGGACATGATATTTCTAGTAAAACCCCTGTAATTGACTTGACATGCTTTTAAAGCCAACTGAATAATACAGCAAGCGCACAAGTTCCCTACTCACTGAGGAGCTGGTGCAAACACACATCAATTAATCAGAGGCATTGAAATCTTTATATGACACACAGCTGCACAAGAAAAGTGTACATATCACTAAAAATGAATTTAGCTGATAAAAGTCTTATTCAGAGAGACTGTGTGAGTTCACGCTGGTCACAAGTCACAATTACAGCAAAATGTTAAACGTCAAAATGTTGTGTAACTGTAGCGAAGAGGCGTAATGTTAGCAGGTCATACCGCTTTTGTTTGCAAACATTACTGTTTTGTCAACTTTAGAATGATTATATGTGTACCTTAAAAAATATCTAAAGGGGCTACATTCAAAATAAACCTTTTTTTTCAGCTGGTCTTCATCAAAAACAGGTAATGTAGAATAATCAGTAATGATCAATATCAACTGAAATGAAACATTTTATTGTTCTAAATTTTTCAGCCTCATCATTCAGCCCTAAGTTAAATTAGGTGGATGGTGCACAAGACAAAGTTGTTTGAATACGAAGTTGGATAAAGGGCTGCAATTAGCAGCTATTTTTAGGAGGTTGTGGCAAATTCAGCGAAGAAGCTGCCTGGCACTGCTATGACTAAAGTGAATGGAGCATTGCTGTGCTTTTTTTCTGTTGCATGAAACTTGGTAAAGTTGAAGTTGAGAATTTTCAGAACAGGTTCAACAACATCAGTTTAACCAACTCAGTGACATCAGGCTGATATTTATTCTCTCTGACCTGAGGGGTATAGCACGAAGCAAGTTTGACATAGCCAGGCTTTCTTTGTGTAAACTGGCTTGATAAAAACTAAAGCCCCAGCCAGAGATCACAGCTATCACGAAGGTGGTTATCAGACTTTCTGCTTCAGACTCGTGCGCGTTCACATAAACTCTTCTGAAATGAAACAATCGTGTGCAGCTGCTTCAGTCAACAGGTTGTTTAAATAGAGAACAATGAGGAATAAAAAAAATATGACGGTAAAAAGCGCTGCTACTGTAAATGGTGCAAGACAGGAATGCTGGTAGAAAACTGTTAAACGTGGGTAAACATATTTATTTTACTGACCGATGCAGCCGCTGATTTCTAACTGACAGCTGCACATCAGAGCTGTTAAACTTTAAACTTTGCATATTTAAACCTGATTCTGTATTGAAGTGTGTTTAGGTCAGACACTGTCCCATAATGCAGTCTATCACTTTAATTAATGGCCAAATCAAAGCAAAACTAATGTACTGATTGAATATTCTCTGTAATACATACTAGGAGAATAATCCATTTTCTGATATGTGTTTTATCAGCTGCAGTACCAGCACCACCTCCCTTTACGCGGTACGAAGCCTTTGAAAAATTGAAGCTTAAATGGGACATTCTGAGGCTATCTGAGAGAGAAATTTTAGCTCATGAAACCTGATGAAAAAAGAAGTCATCTTCTTCTGCCCCGGACAGATTTTTGCCTTCTTCCATTTTATGCCGCGGGATGACATCTTTAAATGTCCAAGCGTCAACAATAACAGCTCGCGACACAACCTTTTCTGTCAAAGCTCCCGCGCCAGTGGGTCAAAGATCATTCAGTATCGAGAAATCTCACTGTGTAGGTCAGCTGACCTTGCATGTAACCTACATGAAATGTCACAAGAGCAGCTAACACCAAAACAATATGGCGCCTCAGCATGGAAAACGCCAAATTCGATCGTTTTTTGCACCGTCTAACGGTGTATCTACCACAACTGGAATATGCTGGAGTCATTATAACGTTTTTAATGATCAGATACATTGTCTTGTGATGGTGCTGGGATATTTTCACAGCCGAGAAGATCGTTTTCATGAAGACTGCATGTTGTACGGCAGCATGTAAGAACATGGCCCAAGTGTTACTAGGGTTCAATCGGCATTTTGGTACGAGGGCGCAAGCCGGATATGAGGGCTCAGCGCCCCTGTAACATGATTTAGACAAACCTCTGATAAGCTACTGGTCCTGCTAATGTTGTAGCACTATAACCCCTAGTTATAGTAAATGAGCAAAGGTGTGTTATATCATTTCAGTGCCAATTTCTGAATAATTACAAATGCAAAAACACAGTGTAACAGCAGTTTGCATCAAATGTCACGTCAAAGACTAAATCATGTTGTTAAATCACGACCAATCTGAAGTTAGCTCGTTTTAGTCAATGTTGGATTGATCATAACTCAGCAAGTGAAGACGGCAGAGTAAAACTATCGAACATATTGAGCTCCAAAGCAGCATTCTTGGCTGAATTAAACTGTCAGGAGGCCCTGAGGGTACATTTTCTATTGGGCCCCCAAATGCCCCTTTAGTTAGGAAAATGCACTGTGTGAACACAGGGGTCCTTCTAAAGGACAGAGCCATAAAATTAGCCAATACCACAGGGCCCTCCTTGTTCAGGTTTATGTGCAGTTAATTAAATTACCTAAAAAGTCTCCCAGGGAGTCTGGGGCTTCGTAGCCCTTGGTGCTTAGCAAAACCCCACTTTGCTTGGTTGGCGATGCAGCATTTGGTGCATTTTGTAACCTAGAAGTAAGACTTTCTCACAAGAATTAGGTATTTCTTCTTTCAGATGTCAAATAGTTGAATTTTAAAGCACTATTTGTGTATTTAAAATTGCTCTATATGGTATTAAAACTCTGAATTCTGTCAAGTAACATTTCCTTCGGTACAACATGAAATTAGGTTTTGTCAATATTTAGCATCCATATGCCTGCAAACAATTATTTCAACTTTCTATAATCACTGCCATATGTACATCTTTCCTTCAGCCTGCAGCTGCACTGTGACAACAAAAAAAAACATGCCAAAATCACCCCGTTCAATCAATACAGAGCAGTAAATGGTGATTTTGGATAGTTACTTAACATCATTTGCAGCCTACAGGTGGGTCACTGCATCCCTGTCAAAAGCTATCAGCAGCACATTTCTCCCTCTCACATCCACAAGCTGTACTGTCTCACTCTTGTTGACAATGTGAGATGTTTAATTACTGTCTGGTAGTGAAGTGCAGAGATGACTCAGCTGTTATCGTCAGACTTTCAGGCAGGGGGGAGCGCGCTGAAAAAAAAACGCTTCAGGGAGCTGGGTGCACTGGTGTGGGAATAACTTCTTACAACTCCACATCATTAAAAAGGAGCTGGTGATAGATTTTGGGGGGGAAGCATATCTAATTAAACATTTTGCTGAAGATGCAGCCGTTGAGAA